ATACCAAGGCCTACCCACCAACTCCTGCCTTGCCAAGTATCCAAGTGACTAGGAAATTTTGTCTGGGGGAGGGTCCCCTGACCCTCTTGTAGGTTTCTTTTCACATTAGTTTTCTCTAGCTATATGGCAGCAGATGTCTCCATGTTCTAGAATTTTCTGGATATAGAATACAAACATTAAATACTGGGATTATAAATGACACATGACATGTTTTTAATTAAAATATGGACCACACAGTCTGTCCTAACTGATTTTCAGTTGCTTGGATGTTGCCAGGTCATTTCCATATTGGCTCAAGTGAAACAGAAAGAGGAAGAGAAAGCTATGGGACAAAGTATCATCTAATTTATTCTAGCACAAAAGGGCTTTGTGTCTCCAATTAATACTTAATTTGTGCTTTGTCATATTCCAAAATAGGATCTGAATCAGGAACCCTGGGTCTGTAGGAATCAGAGATGCTTTTTTGGATTATAGAGAAGGGCTATGTTCCTCATGCTGTGGAGGAGACTGCAATGGTCACTGCTTGACTATAGCCCATTTAACCCCTGTTCCATGAGATCCATCTTGACGCCATTGGAATTTACAAGCTACATGTATAAGGCTCTAGTAGTTTGTGTTGTCATGGGGCATCCCATTTTGTCACACTGTCTGGAGAAAAGGATGTGTATGTACAAGGTCCAGGCAGAGTGGTGGTTTTGCAGTTTCTTGAAGAGGCAATGTGAAAGTTTGGGGGCAGGACATTGAGATGAATATGGGAAAAGGTTCTTCGCAGATGGATATCATCTATAACTCCTTCACACCCCTGGCTTGAAAGGCTCCTGAGAGCCATGTTTTTGAGTTGCTCTCCTAGGCTCACCAGTGCAGGAAGTGTTTGGGGCCACCCACAGACTCCTTGTGTTTGATGCAAAGCAGTCATTTTCAAAATGACATTTTAAGCGGTGGGTTTCCAGCTTTGGTGACACCTTCGGCAGGTGCTTTATGTGAGAAGACAAAGGGTCTCTATCTCAGAGCTGGGGACCTCTGGGGCAGACACTTTCCTATAGTCTGTCCTGTGCGTCTCTGTCCCCTACCCAACCAGCTGTTAGTGTTATTATTTACCCTGTTATGAGCATCAAAACTGTCTGCAGATAGGAAAACTGTCCCTTGGGAGACAAATTTACCTCCTCTTGAGAGCTTTGCTGTTAACATCCTAAGGAGGAGGCAATTGATAAAAGGCAAGGGAGAGAACCCAAGTACTTTTGGGATCTCTCTACCCTCTCCTCCTTGTCCTTGATTGGAACAGGTGACTCCAGGTGGATGAAAGGCTGTGGGTCCCTGTGGGGACTCTACTTGTCACCATCTTCCTACGATCACCACGAGAGCTCTTTTCCCTCTGAACACTACAGCAGGCTTTGTGAGACATCTGCAGGAAGAACCAATCTAGCTCTTGTCACGAATCCTTTATTTAAGCCCTGACCTTCCTTTAAAAATGCATACTTATTGAACTGGAGTACCCAGAAAAAGCACCAGACATGAAGAACCCTATGTACTGGCACTAGGTTCTGCCTTCCCTATTTGGCACTAATGAAACCATGCCAATTGTACTCTCTTACCTCATGCTATTCATTTACTATACTTTGTAGAGCCAGCCTCTCCCACTGAAACTTGTGGCCTTCTAATAGCAGCCAGCAGAGTTACCATAAGTGACTCCTCTTGTTTGGTACCAAGCAGTGAGTCACTGAAGACTTGGCAGGCCATGGGCAATGTCATTTGCAAATGTCAAGGCAGCACCTCAACTGGCATGCTTCTTCTCTGCCCTACTGTCACCCTCCATGGGTGTTTTCTTCCTTTAAAAAATCTGTTTATTTAAATATACATAAGTATTTTATTTTTGCTGCTGCTGCTGTTGTTAGGAGTTAGAGTATGTGTGTGTGTGTGTGTGTGTGTGTGTGCTACTAAGCCTTCCTCCATGAAGACAACTTATCAGAGTTAGTTCCCTCTTTTTTATCTGGAGTATTTCTAAAGATTAAATTCAGGTTGTCAAACCCAGTGACCAGCGTCCTTTACCTGGTGACTCATGAATGCTTTCTTGAAGTTGTTTTCCTAGAAGTCATTAATGGTAAGTTTCCTGTCCTACCCTTCTGCCACAATGGGTCATTAAAATTAATGATGACCATACTTTTCTGCTTTTTTTTAAAATTAACTATGACCAAGAAATGTTAACTTCTAGCATTTGTACTTGAAAACCAAGAAAAGACTTCTTGTATAATCTCCATGGTTAGTGACTTCCAAAGACTTCTGTGTATCCAGTTCTACAAAGGCTTTTGGTTGTTATTTATTTTTAGTATTTTGTGGCACTGGGATTGAGTCTGGGTCTCAGGTAATCTAGATGAGTAGTGGAGCTATACCCCCAGTCCCTCAAGAGCTCTTTAATACATCCTTCAATTTTCATGTTGTTATGAGACAGACATTTTATTATCCCCATTTGACAGCTGAGAAAATTGAGGCACAAACAGGTGATGTGGTGTGGACAGAGTGTCCTTGGTAGAGTGTTCTTGGGGCTAGGATTAGCATTCTGGCAGCCTTGCTCTAGGCAGGGGCTGGCAAGCTTTTTTTTTTTCTTTTCTCTTTCTATCAAGGGCCAGAGAGCAAATCCTGTCCTTGCAGGCCAAGTGGTCTCTGCAGTGATGGTTCAGCTTTATAACTTGAAAGTAGCTATGGATGACAGGGAACATCATGAGCACAGAAATGTAGATTTCATCTAATTCCTATAGGTCACAAAATAAGTTTTTCCTTTGATTTGCTTTTAAAAATATGAAACTGAATCTTAATTTTGAAGCTATACATAAGCAAACAATGGGCTGAATTTGGCCCCACCCCATAGTTTGCCAGTGACTATGCCAGAGCACTGACTTCTTGATACTCTGCAATCTGGTTGCAACACTGCTGCTCCCTGACTCAGGAGCATCAGAAGCAAAAGAGGATGCGGGGGGGGGGGGCTGTTATTTAACTTCCTGGAGGACTCTACACCAGCGTGTCACTCATTTGCCACTTCTCAGTGTGTGGCAAGTCTAGGAAGGGTCTGTTTGAAAGCATATATCATAAAGACTGAAATGAAGGAAGTTTCAGAATGCAATGGCTGGCATCTCTACAATCATCAAAATCCATTTATGGAATGCTAATAGGGGCCAAGAAAGTGATTTCATTTATTTAAACAATTTGATTGATAGCTCCTTGTTGGAAACAGATCCATGTAGGAAGCTGGTCTCCCCTGAACGAAGAACATGCTGTATAAACACTGTGATCTTCTTGGTATTTGACATGGCCCATGGCCCAGGAATATACACTGGAGGGGGGCTTAGTAGCACAGGTGGTCCTATTCCTCTTGGCTTTCCTTTGCATCTGAAATATTGTCAGTGCTCCTGCCTCGGTGAGACCGGGGCATGAGAACTGCCTTGAAACCATGAGGCTTCCAGAGAGAAGGTGTCAGAGTTAGAGGCCAATGCCAACCTGGCCACCTGGTTAATGTCCCCAACAAATGCCAGTGTCTCTGGCTGCTCCGTAGGGGCTCTGGGAGAATGTGTTTCAAAATGGGCTCTTGGCATACCTTGTCGCTGTGCGGCTCTGAAATGGTGCCAGAAGTCCTGGCAACCACAGCCTTGTTGCCTTCTTGTCTCCAGTTGGACTGGGCAGCAGATGGCAGAACCATTGGTGTGGTCGGGATAGGGAGGAGCTGTCTGGAGAAAAGTGGTGGTCATTTTTCTGGCTAGCATGTGCCTTAGGTAACTGTATTCTTTACTGAAATGGTACTGAGACCTCTTGCGTATTGCAACCTTTGGATACCGAGGAGAGTTAGGTTCCAGGATGGCTTGGATGGATCATTTCCTAGGATCTTCTGGCACCTCATGGGAGGTCATCTTTCATACAATATCAGAGTAACATAAAAGTCTTGGTAATTAGCAATGCAATGGTTTTCAACGTGGCCACTCTAAAATCAGCAGCGAAGAAATATTTGTCCTTTTTCAGTGTCGAGGGACAACAAAAAGTGGACACATATTCATGATCAGCCTTCTCATCATAAAAACAGTCTTGACCATCTTTGCTTTGAGCTGGAGTTTATGCCCTGGGCCAGTTCACACAGGTTCGCACCTGTTGATAAAGAGCGTCAATAAAAATGATTTTTTGTCTCTGATTAATCTTAGAATATGAGTTGTTACTTAGTAAATATAGTCTTGCTGGATACAACCCTCTTTAAAATTGAAATTACTTGAGGGAGCATTTAGGAAGAGATCTCTTGTGGTGGGAGGAGGAGAAGCTGATGTGGTAGGGTACCACTCCTTCACAAAGAAACAAGAGACACAAATTGGTTAAAATGCTTGCCTAATCTGCACTGGAGTCTCAAAGACGAAACTGAACTTGCTTCCCAGAGTTTCTAAGTTATCCTATTCCTACTGCCCTGTGGCATCTCTGAGTCATTAGGGGTCCCATCTCTGGAGTTACTTATTGGTTTTCTTGAACTCCAGATGGAATGAACTGTGGTCATGCAGATAGAGTGGTCTTTTGTGTCCTGGTGGATGAATGCGCCGCCAAGTAAGTCTTTCTCTTCATCCTGTCTGCCCAGAAGTCATGCTCTCAGATAAGCTACACCCCCATTCCCCAAACCATGTCATTTATATTATCTTGCTATGCAGGCATTAAGAAATTAAAAAAAAAAAAAAGAAAGAAAGAAAAAGAAAATCTTGAAGAGGAATAAGAAGGAAGTAAATTGAATCAAAACTTTGAGCAATGGGGTTGAATGTTCTGGAGCTGGGGATGGATACTGAGCACTCCATCCTCAGGCTACACACTTAGAAACTGAGTCCTTCATTCCTGTCCATCCAGAGGGAGAAACTGAGCTCATAGTTAATTGGTGATTTGTCAGAAGTCACGGCTTATGCTCCAGGCTTCAAGTTCATGTCTGACTGTGAAGCTGGCACCCCGCCCCTGGCTTCAGTGCTCTGACCTCTCCTCTCTTCCTGCAGACACATAGAGAACTGGCGAGGCCTGCACACCCTTAATGCTGTGGATATGGAGCTCTACACAGGACTCCAGAAGCTGTGAGTATGCTGGGATGGCTTGCTAAGGAACAACTGGGTTGCTGCCTGTCATCTTCTGTGGTGAAGTAGCAGTAATGGGAAGACTTTTGCCTCAGTGCTTTTTCTCAGGAATTTTCTTTGGGAATGGTTGGCATCACCTATTTAGGGATTGTCAGGGGCCACCTTAGTCTGAACAGGCCTGGGTTAGGGTCTTAAGGCAGCCTTGCCCCCAGTGCCTGCTGGGATTGTGGTCTTTCTCGGTCCTGTGCTTGGCACAACCCTACACCGCATCCCCAGTGTCAGATTGTCATTCAGCACTGCAGGGAACTTCAGCTTTAGACACGGGGCACCAGGTGTGAGGAGGAGAAGGCACAAGGCACTGAAATCTCCTTGTCTCTGGAGCACCAGGAACTCTAGTTCTCAACTACTGGTCAGGATGGGAAGTGAGTAGCTGCAATCAATAATCTGCTCATATTCCAACCTTTATCTAGTTCTCCAAAGGAATTGGTTTTATCTCTCTCATTGAACCCACAGTTGGCCAGCTAGGGTGACTAGTGATGAAGAGAGCTACAGCCCACTCACAGGGTTTGCCTTCTTTTTGGCTGTAACCCCTGGGATTCTGCCAACCTTCTTTCTTTTTCTCTCTACTTAGGACCATCAAGAACTCTGGACTCCGGAACATCCAGCCCAGGGCCTTTGCCAAGAACCCCCATTTGCGTTATATGTGAGTAGAACTGGATTTTGGGAGAAGGCGCAGGGGTGAATGCATGGAGATAGTCTTGGACAATGAGGTTGGCTGTGGTATTTGTTGTCCCTGGCCAAATCCTTTAACTTTCTTAGGCCTTCAGTTTTATCTCCTTAGCATGAACATTTGGGATTTGGTAATCTCAAAGGTTTTTAGTAGAAGGAAGCCAGGGCTGAGTGGGAGATTCTCCTGTCTAGCAAGTTTGAACCTTTCTTTTTTTAATAAGGTAATTTGCAGCTTTGTGGGAATATAAATGACAGGGCCTTAATATGGTATGGACATGACTCTTCTGAGAATATATGTAAGATTGTAGTGGTGTGTATGTGTTGATGTTGGGAATGGCAGGAAGGAAAGCAAGACCAGACTAAGTATAAGAAGAGCATAGATTCAATACAGAAGAACTTTGAGGAATGGAAATATCTGCATAAGATAATAGGTCTTGATTTGGGTTAAGACAGTGAGCACATGTTCATGGGTATCTGTCTTTTTGTGCCTCCCTCACTCTATATCCTCTCCTTGCCATGGAATGAATTCTTTAGGTAGTGGCTCTGTATAGACCTTGCAGGAGTGGAATCACACATGTAATTGTTTCTTCTCCTAGTCTACATCTAGGTAGGTAGACTATGAGATTTGGAGGGAACACAGTCGTTTCTTATGAAGCAAGGGAGCATGAAAGAAAGCCTACAGTATGTGATCAAGGACAAGACAACTGATGCCTCCACAGGGGTATACTTGTCTGGGTCAGCTCTTTCTCAAGAAGAATAGCCTCACGGGTGTTCAGGGGTTATACCCCAAAGAGCAGAAAGTATTCATGAACTCCATGGCATGGGACCTGTTGCACGTGGGATGGAAACATAAGACCTACCGGTAGGTTGACTAATCTTTCTTTGGCCACTGTAGTTGGCACTTGATGACAGAAGGCAACTTGCTGGGTCGAAATCTCTTATAAAGAAGCAGAGCTTCTAATGGGATGCTGTGAAGAAGTGGTGAGCAGGGGATGTAGAGGTCGAAAGAGACCCCGAACAATTATGGTTGGGGAGTGGTTTCTTTTCGCAGAGGTCCTGGCTGTACTCTCAGGTCTGTGCATTTTCACAAGCACAGGGTGAATAGTTATTTATCTCTTTCAGCCACTTGTGCTTTGTGTTGAATTTTCTTTCTTTCCTCTGGAAATAGCAAGCTCCCTGGCCATTGCTGGGGGCCGTAGGTACTAACAATGGGGGGCTGAGAGCTCCCTTTGAACTGTCTAACTCAGCTCTTGCTCCCTTGCCCTGGTTTACGCCCAGTGGCATGATTCTCCCAATGTGTGTGTTCTTCTCAGCCGTTGGTATAGCTGTGACCAGAGAAGGGCCTTGGACCAGATGTTCCAGGTGTTTATTTTATTGCCGATTTGAGTTTCATTGTAAAAGTTCCCAAGGGAAAGAGCTTGTGATATCTGAGACGTCTCCTTTTTCACAACACACAGAGGTCCCGAAACTACATGCGTCTGGCCAATCAGGTGGGAACAGTTGGGGCTATGGAACCACGTGACAGTTCCAGCTGACTACTGTTATGTGAGGTGCAGTCCAATGTCACCAGACTTTTTGTTTGTTTAATCATCAGCAACCACTTAAAGGGCTCTATTAGACATGGTGGGGACTCCAGAGGAGCCTGAAGGTCACAGATAGCAGAGACCATAGGGCAAGACACACAGTCTGGCTCATCTATAGATTTTGTGAGTGAACTTCATCCATTTATGAAGACACACCCCAAATCCCTACTGAGTGAATTTCCCGTCAGCTTTGGGACATTTTCTCCTGGCAAATGGTCCAGGTTTTGCTGCTCTCTCACAACGTCTTCTATTTCTGTCTTCTAAATGCATTTACAAGTCTTCAGGCCCCAGCTGAGCAATCACAAGGCGATCACTTACTCCAACACTAATTGCCAAGCCCTGGCTTGGCGGCTGTTTCTTTCTTTCTCCACACCACCCCCCTTTTAAAGGGAAATGGCCGAGAAGATGTTTCTTCTTCCCTCTGTACAAAATAAGAAGCAGGAAATGATATTCTTGCCCAAGTCATTTCAGTCATCTGATGGGGGCAACACAACTGCCCTTCATCCCTGAAGCTGTGCCTGTCACCAGTATAATTCTTTCTTCCCCACATCAGAAAATGAGCCTATGATGTCAAGGTCAAGTTTTGGCAGCAAGCATAATGGGACATTGGAACCCTAGGTTGTCTTGAGTGACCGTCTCCTATTGACTACTTCAGTTTCCTTCTCTATTTTGCTGGATCTGGACAGATGAGATATTGGTGAATACATTCAGAAAGACCTTTTATGAAGGACTGGATTTTTTTTTAACCCTCTTGCTTATCCCAAGAGCCTTGAGGGTAGGACAAGGACTTTTCAACTTGATCATGGGAATAATGGCTTGCTAAGTTACAAATTGAGAATAAGGGCAGTGCCTGTTCTAGGCAAAGACTACATGGCTAATGTTCAGTACGACTTTTAGCCCAGCAAGTAGAGTTTAGAAATGATGCTTACTGATAATGATATTGTGTTCTGCTGTTGCTGATCACAGAACCCGATGGGAGGGATAAGATGGTCTTAGTGACTTCCCTGACCCATCTTTATCCTGGAACAGCTAGATTTCTGTTCCACACATTTCACTACCCTTGCGCCTGAAATATACCTGTTTTCAATAGCTACTGTCTTCTTTCCTTGAATGTGGATGGGTCAACCTGGATACATTTGTTTCTTCTCTCTACCCAGTCTCTCTTGCTTTTGACTCTATGTAGACCACTCTAGATGCTGCTCATCCCAGGTGTCCTCAGCAAGGAGTAAGTCTATAACTTTCTTATTTCTAAATGTTTAGAGACCACATCTACTAACACTGTTGAATACAGACCATCCCCCAAATGTTCTGAGACTAACTTCTGTTGCTAGTTCTTTTCCCCTTTAAGAACGTTGTTTTCTGTAGGGAGGCTCACACACAGCCTGGATCTCCAGGGCGGTGTCCTCATGAGGAAAGTGATGTAGGTGCGTTCTATGGTCTGTGTTCCAGTGATGGTGTTTCCTTTCCTTTTAGAGCACTTCCTGGTTTCCAGGGAACTTCCATATACTTCATCTCACCAAGTTCTCACAGCCATCCTGGTGGCTGTTATGGTAGGTAGCTTTGTTTCATAGGCACAGAGAGTCTTATTGGTAAGGAGTGGAAGTAGAAGCGTGCTTAGGTTCTTAGAGTCTCTTCTCAGGAATCTTTCTATTATACCTTTGGGTGAGAAGTCCAACAACAACCAAAACAAATCAACCAAACCACCCCCACCCCCCATCACCAGATGCTTAGCAAATTGCAATAAGAATACAAGTCTCTAGGGGAGAGATTGCTTAGCTGGTAAAGTGCTTGCTGCATTTGATCTCCAGAACCCATGTAAAAAAGCCAGACATGTTGGTTTTGTAATCTGGCACCGGGGAGGGAGAGACAGGCTTGTGCTTCTTTGATAGCCACCCAAGGCCAGTGAGAGCCCATCTCACAAAAACAACAGAACCGGATCCTGAGGAATGACATTGGAGTTTGCCTCTGTCCTTCACCTGCACATGGGTGTATGTTCACACAAATGCAGGCTCACACACACACACACACACACACACACACACACACATGCACGCACGCATGCACGCACGCACGCACACATACACATATGCACATAAGCACATACATGCACACATGCTCACGTCTCAACAAAGAAAAGGAAAGGCTAATTAATACTCATTAAGAATTTACTATGAGACAAGGAATGGACCTAGTGCATTTGCGGATTTCATCTCATGTCACTCTGCATAGTGTCTATCTGAGAGCTCCTTTGTCCCCGTTTCGTTGATGAACACACTGAGTCCCATCAATTTCTCCTAAGGTCATGCTGTAAGTTAGTGGAGTAGTCAGACTGAGGACTCCCATCCTGTGTCTCTGAAGTCTGTGTACTTTCTGACATCCCTGAGTGTTTCTCCTCTTTGCTTTTCTTAGCAAGTGCTTCAGATGGGAGGGATGTGGGGGTCTTTAAACTTTTATTAGAGAGCTGGAATTTCTCCCTGGAGATTTAGCACCATCCAGCCTCAAAGAGCTTGGGCTGAGAAAGCTGTTTAGTTTCTTTCCCTATTGAGGTCGGATCCTGTACCAATGGTTGTATTACTAACTGAATATCTTTATTGTGAAAGATTTCATAGTGTTAGCCTATGGCCTACTTATTTCCAAGAATATTTAATGTAAGATTTCAGCAAACCAAAAGAATTTCTTTAATCCCTCGGAGTTGGTTGTGGTCTCACATTAAGTTGCTGTAGGCAGAAATTCAATGGATCTGTTCAGCTGGGAACCCTGGGTATGAGGGAGGGATAAGGCGGGAACACTTCCATTTGGACGTTTTCAAGGAGAGAAAGTCAGCAGTGTTTAGGTGGATAGGGATAAAGGAAATGGCTGGAGGCCCCACCTTCCTGGTCACTGGCTGGACAGTATGCAATTCATTTCTCCTGAAGGAACAGGGATAGAAACATGGCAGGGCTGATTTATTATGTATTACAAATCACTAGAGGTTGAAGTAGCCTGATTTTGGATTCCAGGCTGATAGGTTTATATTTTAATAATAAACACTCACCTCCCTGCCTGCCCTTACCTCTGCACTGAGACTTTTTTCTGTGTCCCAGTGGGGCTGGTGACTGGCATACTTGTCCCCTTACTGCCTCCATGCACATGGCCTTCCTTCTCTGTTCTATGTGGAGGTTGCAGCCATGGAATACTCTATAATGCTGATGGTAATGGACCAAGGGCCTTGGAGAGCCAAACCTGAGGTTTTTACTCACACTGTTGACCTTAGGGAAACTAGTGAACTTCAGTGAGTTTGTGAGGAAGTGTAAGATCCCCTCCTACTTAGGATGGTTCTGAACCTTCAGTAAGACAAAGTATACAAAGAACTTAACTCAGCAGATTATGAAAGGCTCAGCACCCTCCCCCA